TGCCAAGTAGGCCAGTATGGCTAGCCCACAGAGCGTGTAGAGGAGAGTAATGTGTAAGAAGACTGGTTCAAGTTGTAAAGAGCTTCAAATTCTAAAATGAAAAAAGTATATTTGATTGTAGAGGTAACAAGGAGCCCCTAAAATTTATTGAGTAAATCTATGCCTTAGGAAAATGACCTTGACAGGATTAGAGTGAAATGAGACTAGAGGCAGGAAGCCCAATTAGGAGGCTACTGCAACAGAAGATCTGAAAAATTATGGTGTCTATGTGAATGAAGAGAAGGGGACAGACAAAAAATATAGCAGCTGATTGGATACGTGGTACGAATGAGAGAACAGGGATCAGGATGATACCAAAGTTACAAACCTGAATGACTGGGAGGATGGTGGTAGCCTTGACAGATGGGTGAGCTTGAGGGTACATAACTGCTTTGTACCTACTGAGTTTGAGATGACTAAATGACATCCAGCTCAAAATGTCCAATAGGAAGGTCATGATACAGGATTGAAGCTCAGGAGAGACTAGGGCTGGTTATAGAGATGTGACAGTCATCTACATAGAGATGGAAAATAGATCCATTGAAGGTAATGAGCTCATCAAGTGAAAGTATAAAAAAGAAATGAGGACCTAGGACAGAGTTTTGGGGGAGACACTTGCAGTTACTAAAGTGTGACACGGATGAAAATGCAACACAGAAAACCAGGGAGTGGTTAAACAGGTACGAGGAGAAGTAAGAGAGCAGTAACACAAAAACCCTGAGAGGAGAAAACGGTCAACAGTCTCAAAAGTCGCAGAAAGGTCAAGAAAGATAAGGCCTGAGGAAAGGCCAAAAAATTTGGCAATAAAGAGATAATTATTCCCAACTGATGAATGGTCAAGGGAGATGATCAGTTTTCAGATGAAGTAATCAAAGCTATCTACAATCATATGAAAAAATGCTCTACATCACTATTGATTAAAGAAGAGCAAATTAAAACAACTCTAAGGTACTACCCCCCATACCTATCAGATCGGTTAACATGACAGAAAAGGAAAATGACACATGCTGGAAGGGTTGTGGGGAAATAGGCATAGGTATAATGCAGGGCTTCTTAAACTTTTTCCACTTGCAACCCCTTCAGCACTTCTTAAACTGTGGGTTGCGACCCCATATTGGGTCACTTCCCAGTGTCAGAAGTGCTGCATGCATTGTAGATGAAGCTATGAACTAGTCCAACCATTCTGGAGAATAATTTGGAACTAGGCTCAAAGGGCTATGTAAAACTCTGCATACCCAGCAATACGCCTACTAGGTCTGCATCCCAAGAAGATGAAAGAAAAAGGAAAAGGACCTATTTCTCTGTTTCCTTTTGCCACATGACCAATATGGAAATATATTTTGCATGACTGCACATGTATAACCTATATCAAATTGCTTGCTTTCTCAATGAGGATGGAACAGAGGGAAGGAAAGAATTTGGAACTCAAATTTTTTTTTAAATGTTAAAAATTGTTTTTGTATGTAAATGGGGAAAAAATAAAATATTAACTTTTTTTAAAAAAAAGATATAATAAAAAGGATGGTTTCAGAAAACCCTGGGAAGAGTTAACACAAATTGATGCAAAGTGAGCCGAACCAAAAGAACAATTTACACAATAATAGTTAATATAGTGAAAATTATCAACTGTGTAAGACTCTGATCAATACAATGATCTAACATGATTCTAAAGGACTTATGATATAATAGAAATGTTATCTACCTCCAGAGAACTGATGGATTCTGAGTGCAGACTGAAGTATATTTTTCCCTTTTATTTTTCTTGGGTTTGTTTTTTTTTGACATGGCTAATGTGAAAATGTTCTGTATGACTTCATATGTATAAGGGGTATATACTGCTTGCTTTCTCAATGGGTGAAGAAGTGCTGAAGAGAAGAGAGAATTCAGAATTGAAAATAAAAATAAATTTTTTTAAAAAATTAGTATCTTTGGAGAGAGCAGTTTCACTTAAGTGACAAAGGTCGAAGTCTGCAGAGGATTTTCAAGACAGTAAGAGGAGTTTAAATAGAGGCAGGTTGCAGAGGGTTTCCAAGAGAGTGAGATGTGTATAACAGAGGCACCAAGTATAGATGGCTTTTTCAAGGAATTTACCTGAGAAAGGGAGGAGAAATATAGGAAGATAGCAAGCAGGGATGTTAGGATTAGTGAAAGATTATTGAGGATAGGGACTGGACAAAGTCAGCAAAGAGAAAAAAAATTGAATATTAGAAAGAGAAGGGTATGATAATGGGGGCTGTCTGCTGGAAAAGATGGTCCTTCATAAGTTCACAGGTCCAATAAGCCAGAAAGTGAGGAATTCAGTTCAGGACCAGAAAAACTTAAGTTTGCTGTGAAACAATCCAAATCCTCTCAAGAGAATTCAAAACAAAAATATTTTGCCTGGGATACTGCTAGGAGTAAGAATTTTGTGGGGCCAATCTAGAAGCAGAGAGGATGCCACTATCCAAAGAAACTGCCTATGGAGGCTACAGTCCCAATAATGTCCCTCATCCAAAGGTTCAAGCTGAAAGAAGACAGAAAAGACCAAAAAAAATTTTAAATGCATTCCCTGCTTTTTAGTTCATTATCTGAAAAAGCCCTTCAATCATTCATTTCCCATGACTTACTGTCTAGGCCTGGCTTGAAACCCAAACTGCAGCAAAAGCCCTCCTAATTCCAGGCACTGATGTTTAAAAACTCACTGCTTTATCTTTCACTCTTCTCTTACCTCTCTGACCTGCCTACCTCAAGCTCTTACTGCATAAGAACTCCCCATAAGTATTCCAGCCAATCAAAATACCACCCAACCACTTCTAAAATCTCCAGAACACACCAATTTATACTTAATTGACTCCCATGTGATAATACAAAGTTCCAACTGCAAAGGATAGTTACAGGATAACAAAGTAATGAAAAGATAGCACAGGAAATGAACAAAGTCCCAAAGAACCAGTACTCTAGAGCTAATGAGAATGTCTGTGAAAAATGGATTAAGGCTAATTAGGAAATGATTATGAGTCGCTAATAAAGAATAACATTAACATAAACCAAACACAGGAGAAAAAGGAGGAAAAAAGTTGGAACAGAAAAAATTACAATCTAAAAGTGAGGGATGTACAAATTGTAGTTAGCTGTGCCTATATGTGTATGTATTGGAAGAGAGAGAGTGCTGAGAGGAAATTAAGTTGGTAAATAAGTGATGAACTATCTAGCCCTAACCTCTGTTCTACAGTCTAATGCAGCCAAATTACTAATTGCCTACCAGACATCTCCACCTGGATGTCCCATAGGCATGCCTAAAACAGACAGACCTCTGTTTCTTCCCAAATCCATGTCTCCTCCAGACTTCCCCATAGTGATGGCACACAATCATTAGTCACTCAGGTTTGCAATCTTGGAATCATCCTCGATTCTACTCTTTCCCTAATCACCTACATTTAATTAGTTACCAAAACCTTATTTTAACTTGATAACATCTCTTTTACCATTCCATTCTTTCCATTCATATGACCTCTACCCTAATTCAAGTCCTTTCCTCAAAGTACTCTAATTGTATCCTGACTGATTTATCTGCTTTCCATCTCTTCTCTCTCAAGCCATCCAAATGTCATTTGACCCAAAGATCCCATTACTAGGCATGCATCCCGGAAAAAGTCAAAGATAGAAAGAAAAGTCCCATATACAACAAAATATTCATGACAAATGAGAGAAAAGAACAGAGAATAAAGTAAATTCCTACAGAATGATGAACATACAAAGAAATTGTGGTATCTTAGTGTAATAGAATGTTACTGCCCTGTAAGAAGTGTGAGGATTCTGAGAAGCAAAAGAAGATTTTTATGAACAGATGCTGCTGAGTGAAGTAAGCAGAACCAGTTAAAAAAAATCACACTGACAATAATGTAAATACAAATAACAAAAACAGGAAGCTGAATGTAGTGTGATGATAGCAATCAAGCTTGGCCCTTGAGAAGAGTTGAGAAAATACCACTTCCTCACTTTTTGGGGGGGGAGGGGGAAGGAGATACAGAATGAATGAAGCATTAAGTGCTTACAGTGTGCTAAGCACTAGACTGAGGCGTGAACATCAAAGACAGTCCCTATGGATGCAGAAAATTGCATATGCTGTCAGATACAGTAGAAAAATGATTAATTTTGTTGGGCTGTTTTTTTCCCCTCTCTTTTTAATCTTTGTAACAATGGATGCCATTCTAGGAAGTATAACCAGAAATAACGATGACTTAAAAAAAGGTCAATAAAATAAATTGTGAAGTATTGGTAGCTTTTACACAAACTGGTAGATTTATGGAAATGATAAAGCTGTTTTTATTTTAAGTTAAATAAATTAAAATTCCAATTCAGTGACCCACCAAGGATGCCCTGTTCTGTGCACGCACAACATGCTAATACACAGTCTCTACAGCACCTCGCTTATTAATTTCTGCTCCTCTCCCCGCCAGCTCCACAGTCTACACCCGCTCAGAACGATAATAGTAATGATTGTCAGTCGTCCAGCCCCATGCCGGCACCTCGGTCCCGCCGGACGATCGTACAGAACCTTCCACCTTGGGCTGCGCCCGGCAGGGCTGAGGTCAGCAGCGGGCGCCCACACCTTGGCCAGACGGCCCGCAACCCCTCCCCCGCAGGGGCGGGCGGGGCTGCGGGGAGGGGGAGGGGAAGAGGCCCAAGTGTCAAAGCCGCCGACGCTGCCGGCCCCTCCTCCCCGAGAGCCGGTGACAGCTCGGGCTCCTGCCTGCGGGGGGCCGAGCGGGCAGGTGCAGCCGCCCGGCCCAGCGGCCCGCCCACGGAGCCCCGCGCCCCCGGCTGGCCCCGGGTCACCTGTCAGGGCCGCGCTTCCCCGCACGCTGCCCCCTCCCTTGGCGGCGGCGGCGGGGACAAGCGGGAGCCGGGGGACAACGGCCGCCACCCTGGGTCCGGGACCCTAGGAGATCAGGGAAGACCGGGAAGCCGCGCGGATTTACCGAAGGGTGGGCCCCACGCAGGCTGTGTCTGTGCTCTCGATCTCCTGCAGGATCCGCTCGTGTTCGGGTACGGCCGCCAGGCCCTCACCGCCCTCCGCCATCTTGGACTGAGGCAGAGCCAACAGCCGCGGCGGCGCTAGAGCCCGAGAGCGGCGAGCTCGGGAGCGGGCGGGGCCGGGGAGGGGGTTGGGGGGGAGAGCGCAGGGGAGCGGCGCGCGGGGGCGGGAGGAGCGCGAGCGCTCCGCTCCTACTACCCCCTTCCCCCCCACATCGCCCCCTCCCGGCCTTCCCACGTGGCAAAGGGCCGGTCTGGGCCCCGCAGGCTTACGGGCCAGGTGACAGACGTTTTGGCCTCAGTAAAGTGGAGGGAGTCACCTAGGTGACTACAGTGTGGTGCTAGTGACTCGTCCTAGACAAGAACAGTTTCCTGTAAAGAGCCAAAGAGTTTCACATCACAACACGTACCTAGTGAATACCTGCTGTGTGAGTCGAAGATCCTAGCAACAGCCGAGACCCGGGGCGCTCGGATTGGCCTTTAGGCTAAGTCACTGTGTCATCTTCCTCAAACCACTCCGGCCTCCCCTGAGTTAGAATGTAAGCTCCTCAAGGGCAGGGGCTGTTCTCACTATTCCATCGTCAATACAATTAAGCGCCTACTGTGTGCACTGCTTAGCACTGGACGTGCAACAGTGAGCGCTTAATTAAATACTTATTGGCTTAGCTTTGTTTGAATTGGGCTTCTGATACCTCACCTGTAAAATCAGGATGTCTGGGTGTGAAAGAAGGTTCCATATCGCAGTTAAAAAGAAAAATGCAAATCAAAACAACTCTGAAATTTCTCTGACACCCAGCAAATTGGCAAAGATAAAGAAAGACAGTGTGGAAGGGAGTTCTGAAAAGACAGACAAACTGCATGGTTTGCGAGTTGATCCAACTATCCTGGAAAGTAATTTAGATTACAGGCAAATAAAATGACTAAAATGTCCATAACCCTTACACAGAGATCCCACTGTTAAGCATATATTCCAAAGAGATCAATGACAAAAGAAAGGCCCATAAATGCCAAAATATTTACATATATATAACTACATATATACTATATATGCCATACATGCTATATACACATATAGTAACAAAGAACTGGAAACGAAAGTAGGTGCCAGTCAATAGGGGAAAGGTTAAATAAATTGTCATATATAAATGCAATGGAACATTACTTACTGCACTGTAAGAAACTATCATGAAGAATAGAGAGAAGCATTGAATTTTTATGAACTGATACAAAGCAGAATCAGGAAAACCTTGCCCAATGACTCCAACAATACCAATGGAAAGAATTTTTAAAAAAAAGTTGGGTTTTATAAGGACTAAGTTTGGTCCCAAAGAAGAAATGAGAAATATACTTTACAGAGGTGAAAGACTATGAATGTGGAACTTTGCACATACTATGATGGGTTCAATTTTGATGAGCTCTTTTTTCCTTTTCCATTCTCTTTTACAAGGTATGTTTCTCTAGGTAGAGGAGAGAGAAATATATTTGGAAATGGAGGTGATATAAAGACAAATGTAACCTCAGTTCCAAAGCATTGGGGTTATGTGCAAAAAAAGTCAATACTTTTTTAAAAATTAAAAACTAAGGGGATTGGCTAGACCAGTGGTTCTCAAAGGAAATGCCTCAGGAAACTATTGTGCCATCCCTAGATATACCACAAAATTTTGAATGTTACTTTACTACAGATACCTTGAACTTGCAAAGAGATAAAAAAGGCTACTCTTTTTGAAGGGAAACTGCACATGTCCAAGTCTCAGTTCCCCAATGCAGAGAAAGTTGTGCCATATACAAACAAACAAAACTTGAAAACAACTTAACTAGGTATCTCCGAGGTCCCCTCCATCTCTAACCATATAATTCTTAGATAAGTAAGACAGGGCTCCTGGTCTCAGGGAATCTATCATCTAATTGAGAAGAAAAGGAAGAGATAAATCTTCTATATGAGGATTCCCTCTGCCCATGCAAAATGCAAGCCATCTGAGTAGATCGAAGCCTTAAGGCTGCAGCCTTTGTCGCCAGTGAGGTTGGCTTCCTGATTCTAAGTCCTGCACATTTCTCCATTTGGTCACAATCGATATTCTTAAATAACAATTGAAGATTAAATTGACTTCAGGACAGTAATGAGAGTTCTGTGACTAAGCATCCTATAATAAATTCCAAATAGTTATCATAGAAAATAAGAGCTATAAGACTTCAAAGATAGAGAGGCACTGGGGATCAAGGTGCTAAAGAAAGGCTTAACTGAAGAACTAGAAACTGGGTGAGGAAAAGCATCAGGGAGAAATAATAGGGGTAGAGAAGAAAGAGACAACTAAGAAATAAGAAAATACAAGGTTAATAAAAGAAAAATCAATACATCAATCTGGCTAAAGCAGAGGTAACATCAGAGATTTTGAAAAGGTAAATTAGTGCTGAACTCTGGAGTACCTTAATCAACCAGACAATGGGTTTGGATTTTATCCTGAAGGAAATGATAATAAAAAGTTTTTCAGGATGATGAGTTTCAAGACACAATTGGACAGCTAATACATTGAGTTAGTACATTAGTACATATATTTGGAACAGGTGTCACAGATGGACAGTTATTTGGTCCTAGAATTAAATTGGAGGAAGTAATTGGACTGGATTGCATTTGAGGATTATGTAGCACTTTAAATTTTCTTTTAAAGTTTTATTAGTGCCTTTTGGTTTTATAATGTACCTTCTTCCAGATATATCCTACCCTGTGAGCTTTCCCTGGTAACAAAGATTAAAAAAAAAAAATCAGCAAAACCAACTGACACAATGACCTGTCAGTATATATAACTGTCCTTGCTCATAGCCTTCCACCTCTTTGATGAAAAGGAAAGAAATGCATTATCTCATCTCTGCTCCATGGCCATATTTGGTCATCATAATTACACATTGCCCAATTTCTTTTTACTTTTTTTTCCATTTACATTGTTGTAGTCATATATATTGTTTTCCTGATTCAGCTTACCTCACTTTGCAGTACTTCCTATAAGTTTTCCCAAGCTTCTCTTAATTATTCATATAAATCATTTTTACATTGTATAGTATTCTATCACATTCAGATACCACAATTTGTTTAACTATTCCCCAAGCAATGAGGACTTTCTTTCTAGTTCTTTGTTTACCCCAAAAAGTATTGCTATAAATATTTTGTTATATATGATACCTTTCTTTTTATCTTTGACTTCCTTGGCGGTACATGTGATCTAATATTTGTAAAAAGCACTTAGCACAGTGCCTGACACATAGTAGGCAACTACAGAAATTCTTGTTCCCTTCCCTCTTCCTGCCTTACTTACTTTTCTAAAAGTGAGATCTCTGCATCAAAAGATCTCAGACATTTTTGTGAGAATGATTGAACCAATTCACAATTCTACCAACAGTGCATTAGCATCCCTGTCTTCTTATAGCCCCTCTAACGTGATTATTTCCATCTTTTTTTTCATCTTTGCCAAATATGAGGTAAAATCCCATTAATAATTATAATATGTACCTCTTTTATTTGTGATTTGGAACAATCTCTTATGTAATTGTTAAGAGTTTGCAACTGCCTTTGAGAATTGTTTGTTCATGTCCTTTGACCACTTTTCTACTGGGAAATGATTCTTTGTGTTATAAATCCTCAATTTCTTTTCTATTAATTTTTTAACCTCTTCCTCTTTAAAATCTGCTCTTTGTCCATGTGGTTAGTTTTGCTTACATTACTTTGATGTTAAACTGTTCCCATGGGTTCTCTCCCCAACACACACATACCTGCCCTATCCCAAGGAATATTTACTTAAATTGTTCACTTCTTTAGTTTTAATTATTTATGTGTCCACACACACACACACACACACACACACACCCCCTACATATGACCCTTCCCTTTCCATGCCCACATAAGCATAGTGTTCAAAACCTTCCCGCCCCATCTTCAACTACTTAGGTTAAGTAACATTTTTATAGCATGTTTTTTGAAAAAATTTTCATTGACTTTTTTTCATGAGGTACTTTTAATAATCCCAAATTGCTCCTCTAAGAAAAGACTTTTTTTTTTCCAAAATAAATGTCTTGGTGGAGCCATACAATTGCAAATCCTGGAACAACAGTCTTTGTGGCCAAAGAGCAAAAAAGAGATGGATGAAGAATGTAAGCAAGATATAGAATACTTCTCATGATAGTCTACACTCAAGAAGTAGCATTAGGGAAAATGTATGATCTGATCCTACATTTGTCACTTCTCAGCCATTTCTAAAACATCCTGTACTCTGGCCATCCTCCTGATTGATCCCACTCCCACCAGAACCTGGACCAGCCTGGGACTCTAGGCTCTGATACATGAATTTTCACTTGATCTTGGCTATCACAGGCCTCCGTGCCATTTCCCAGCTATTTCAAAACCGTACCACTACATACATACTCCCAGCCCTCTCCACCCCTTGCTTTATAGTTCCCCTTTGTCATCTTCCTTCATTAGAGCATAAATTCTTTGAAGGGGGGATCTATCTTTCTTACTTGTATTTATATACCCAGGAAAGATCACTGTGCCAAGCATATAGTAAGAACTTAATAAATGCTTTTTTCATTTATTCAGAAGAGATCTTTCTGAGAATATTTGTAGATGAAACTAGAAGGATAGTAAGTAGGTCTGAAATAAAAACAACTTGCTAACATTTTTATAATGACCTATTTGTATCAACAAGGCTGTTGATGACTACAGCAATGATACCTGATATACTATGCAAGGAAGAGACCATGACATTGAAGAGGATGAAGTCAGAAAGACTGGCCAGACTTGACTATATCCATACAGAATAAATCCATACTGAAGGTAATGCCATCCTAAAATAATTTGAATCCATTTTCAAGATCTCAAAGAAAAGTTTTCCAAAGTAAAGAATAAGAACACAAATAGTACTTTAACACAAAACAGACAAGTTTCTTCAAATACTTCTTTTTTTTTTAATAATTGCCTTAACCCTGAGAAAAATACAAAGCCTTCTGAATGGAAATAGTAATCATTTGAAAGAGATACACTTAGCCATCCACATTAGA